ATAATTTTAATTTTTTAATGAGGCATTTAGGATATAGAGAAAGCAAGCTAGAACTGAGCGAGAAGTTTCTATCCTGATGGCTACTTTTCATACTGCCAGAAGCTTCCCCAGAATGGCTGGCGAAGAAAAGTCACCAATAATCTTTCCTAACCCTGTGAGCCACAGTAGCAACCTGCCAGTGAGATGTGCCCGCTGTTACAATAGTGGCTTGCCTATTACAAGGTAACCAACCACTTTCTGGGTGGATTTGAGGCTCACCACAGAAATACATGCCTGGTGCTGTCATCCTGGTTAAAGGCCCATGGATAAGGAGGTCATGGGCTCTAGGGAAGAACCTACTACTATTGTTTTGCTAAATGGATGTGGTGTCAAACTACCTTTTAAATATGCATATTTATACCTGTAAATCTGTTAGTGCTGTTTTCTGCCTTGATCAGAGAAGCTTCTGTTTGCAGTGGGTGATAGTTAATGCAGGTGATGCTCGAAGTGCTGAGAATAAGTGACTGTTGACTGCTGAGCCTTCAACAGGACATGTGTATCACTTCCCACCCCTATTGGTTCAGGGGGCACTGTGAAAGAGAGGGCCAAAAGAATGTAAAAGCTGGGGAATGGGAGGAGTGCTGTGATATGCTGTCTTCTGGACACAATGTCATCATTGCATTCATGAACCCACTGTGGTTAGCTGCATAAGACCTGCACAAGATGGGGCCTGTCAACATGCCCTCATGGGTATGGGAGAGGCTTATAAAACTCCATCCCTTCTGAGGAGCTATTGGTAATTGATGTTTGCTGGAGGAGAGAGAGTCGTTTTCTTTAGTGGTGGAGCCACTGATAAGTTGCCCATGCTCCCTACCCATGCTCGTGTAAGCAACCCTAATAAAACTCCAAGCATCACAAAATCAAAGCAAATGGAAATAAATGTAGGAGCACAGGGACTTGTTGGAAAGAAGAAGTGAAGGGTTCAGTAGGAATAGGAGCAGGTGAGAGAGGATAACAAGGGAGGTGGAAATGACCAAAGTAAATTATATACGTAATTTCTCAAAATATAAAAAAAAAACTTAAATGAGGGATTTATCATATTTGACACAAAAGGTTTTTTTATTACTACTAATAATATTATTGTGAGAGTGTGTATGAGAGAGAGAGAGAGAGAGAGAGAGAGAGAGAGAGAGAGAGAGAGAGAGAAAGAGAGAAGGCAGCGGGGAGCATAGTGTGTGTAAGGGAAGATGTGCACATGTGCCATGATGCCAATGTGACATGTGGAGGTCAAAGGACAGCTTTGTGGAGTCAAGTCTTGTCCTCCACCCTTTTATAGGTTCTGGGGATTGAACTTGGGTCATCAAGCTTGTGTGGGAGGCACTCTACATGCTGAGCCGCTGGCCCCACAAAAAGTTCCTACTGCCATTATTATTTTGATTCATATAATAGGGGCATGTTTACTCATGTGAATGCAGATCATTGAGAAGTCCAGTTGAAAACATTGGCCCTTGTCCCCTCATCAGCCCAAGAGCTTCTTGATGGCTGGGATCTCAACTTCTTCCTCCTAGGTTGTGGAATGGTAGTTTCCTACCTCTCTTCTTGTTTCCACATGTAGCTAGGGCTTGGAAGTCAGTCAGAGAACCTGGGTTCACGTACCAGCTCCTACAGTTAACTGGGTTGGGTAATCCATAGAAATAAACTTCTCCAGGTCTCTATTTCCCCATCTAAAAGTGGGGATATCTAGAGCCAGACCAGGATTTTTTTTAAAATAGGAAGTTAGCCAGACGATATTTATGAGTGTTTATTAAGTACTTGAAAAATATCATGCAAATGTCAATCATCTCAGCCTTCCTGAGTCTGGGTTTCATGGAGTAAGTTCAGAGCTTCCTCTTCTAAACCCATTCTGTCTCCCAACCCTCTTTCTTCCCATTATACTCTCAAGGACAACCAAACTGGGAACAAGGAGAGGTCCCATGGGTGGGATACAAAAAGGCTTGCAGTTCCATGGCTCAACATCTCCCCCCACAGGACCCCAGTGATCTCCTCAGGTTTCCACTCACACCTAAGTTAACTGAACAGAAGCAGAGTATTAAGTTAGCTATGGCATCTTTCCAGCCTTCCTGGGGAGAAGTACCTGTCCTTGCATGTTCCTTGAATCTTCTAGCCTGAGCCAGAGACCTCTGTCCTCCAAAAGGATTAAGGAATTAACATAATGAACAAATTGAAATTTTACTTCGCTTGTTGGTTTTATTGGTTTTGAGACAAGGGCTCACTATGTAACCAGACCAGCCTCAAACTCACTAGGTAGCATAGGCTGGTCTTGAATGCCTGGCAATTTGACTACCTTGGCCTCTCTGAATTCTGGGGTCACACATGTGTCCTACCATGCCAGCTAAAATTTTTAATGATTTTTTTCAAGTCCAAAAAAAAAAAACAGTTGAAAACAGCAAATACCATCTGCTTATGCTCCACCTTCAAAAGTGACCAAGTCATCATGACTCTTCCGTGTATTTGCTACCTCATCTCTTTGTCTCTACCTAATAAAACCTTGACATAAATAAAACATGCCAGCCTGAAGTACTGGTACCATCTGTGAGCCTAGTCCTAGGGAGTTGTAGGCAGAAAGGTCAGGAGTTCAAAGTCATCTATGACTAACTCAAGGCCAGCCTGGGTACATAAGACTCTATCTCAAACAATAACAACAAAAACTTAAACAAACAAACAAAAACATCTTTTTTTCTCTGAAGCCTGGTTTAGTTTGAATGTGTTGTGTTGGCGTGGTAGCTATTTTTTTTTCGATGTTAATTGGCCACAATTTAGAATTACCCTAGAAGAGAGTCTCAATTGGGGAATTGTTTAGATCAGATTGGCCTATGAGCATCTCTATGGGGCATCTTGATGGTTAATTGATATTGGAAGATCCATCCGACTGTGGGTGGCACCATTCCCTAGGTCCTGAACTTTATAAGACAGGAGAAATCTAGATGAGAGAGAGCAGTCAGCATGGATGTCTTCGTTTCTCTCTGCTGTAGATGTGATGTGATTATCTGCTTGAGTTCCTGCTTCGACTTTGCTCAGTGATGGACTGTAACCGGGAAGTATAAGCAAAATAAACCCTCTCCTCCCTTAAGTTCCTTTTGGTTGGAGTGTTTATCACATCAACAGAGAAGAAACTAGAATGTTGGGTCCATAAAGAGCAAATGCAGAACAACTCCCACTAGGGAACATGAGGTAGAATCCAGTGAAACTTGGTCAAGCGGCTCACCAGGTGTGTATATCCAACATGGCTGACAGAGATAAATCAGTGACACACAGCGACGGCCTTCCTCGGGGCCTTTTCAGGGGTACCAATGGGATAATCACAGCCTTGTTCCTCTGATAGATATGTGATATTACTTGACATACTGTACAACCTGCAGTCTTGTCTCTGGTTGGCATGACCTTTGAACTAGAGTGATAACAGCTCCCCAAGCCTTGGAACCTGTCCAAATGTCTGCAGTACGTGTGATTCTGACAAGCAGGAAGGACACGAAGCAAATTCAGAAACAGTGTCTATAAAAAGCCATAGTGAACACTCACCCTGCCCTCTCAGGTAATGCTCTAGACGAGGGAGATGAATAGTGAACAGAACACCTCCAATAGGGGGAAGTCAAAGCTTGCTTGGGGCATTTTAAGGTAGGCAGGAGGGCTGGGTTGGTAACCAAATGGTTCTGTTGGTAGAGTGCCTACCAAGTAAACATGAGGAACTGGGTTCGGATCCCCAGTACCCATGTAAAGCCAGGTGTAGTGGTGTCCATAACACCAGCATTTGAAGAGGGGAGGGTGATGGCAACAGGCAGACTCCAGGTCAGTGAGAGACCTTGTCTCCAAAAAAATAAGGTGAAGAGCAAGAGAGGATGACACAGGGCCTTGTCCTCTGGCATCCAAGTGCACACATGCACAAAACATAAACCTACACTACACACACACACACACACACACACACACACACACACACACACACACACACACACACAGAGGAAAGAGGGAACCTGAAGTCAGACACTATACTACTGTTGCCAAAAGTTGAGTGGGGTAAGCCAATGAGATCAAAATAAAACAATGGGAAAATCACGGTATGTTTATATGAAAATAGAAATGAGTCTAGAGAGAAAAGCAGTCAATAGATATGTCGAATGGTGCTGTCAATCAAGTATGATTGAAAGGTGTCAGAGAAGAAAACTTTTTTTCTCTACACACTTGATTGAGGGGCTATGAATTAACCTGACAAAAGAGATAGTTAGAAGAAAAGACCCACGGAGGTGATCAGAATTGGGGTTCACATGTCTTCATTGCAGGTGAAGACAAAGCAGTAGGAATATCATTGATGGGGAAACAAATTACTCTTAAGAAGAATAAATGAGCCCTTGGAAATGAGCTGGAAGGCAGGGTTGTCTCCTGTCAGTGTCTCTTTAGAGTTCTCCTACCCATAGCTGACTTGTTTCCACCTGTTGGAAGCAATCTTCCCTGGTTCTATGGCTCCACAATAGAGGCTTATGACATTTGAGTTCTTTGGAGAGAGTTTGATTTTGGGAAGATAAGGGACTCCAGGACACAGCGTCATCCTTCATCTGTGGACTCTCACTTGCCTTCAGCTTAAAATAAGTGTGTGTGTGCCTGTGCATATGTGAGTGTGTGTGTGTGTGTGTGTGTGTGTGTGTGTGTGTGTAGCCCAGAGCACACATTCCTCAGGCACCAGTCACCATTCTTTTTTTGGAAAGACACCTCTTACCAGGATCCAGCACTCACTCATTAGGCTAGCCTGTCTGGGCAGTGAGCCCGAAAATCCACCTGTGTCTACCTCCCCAGCACTGGGACTACAAGGCCACACCCACACCACCTTGCCTGACTTTGTATATGGGTTCAGGGATCAGATGCAGGTTCCTGTGTTTGCACAGCAAGGACTCTACCAACTGAGCCATCTAAACTTCTAAATCTGTAGTTAAGCAGTTGCTTCCATTTTGTTTTTGTTTTTTTAAAAGGTCTACCTCCAAAGGCAGAAGGAGGAAAGTCACCATGTGTCACAGTCCTTGCTTCACTATCTTTGGAGCATCCACAGCAGCCCCAGGTAGGTGAGACAAGAGCCTCCACCGAGGTGCAGTACAAACATCTTCTGTCCAGTGGCCCAGTGGCCCAGTGGCCTTAATTATTTGCCCAGATGATAAGCCAAATCAAACCTACATCATTTGTACCTTTTGAGTTAGGTTTGCAAAAAAAGACTCTGTACTTGTGTCCAAGAGAATTCGCATACTGGGGTTTTAGTAGATCTGTTTTGTGACTCTAGTGTGAATGAACTTGAACCGAGATACTTCAATTAAAATGTTTTTAATATTTATTCATTTGAGGCATGGTATACACGAGCCACAGCATGCACGGGGAGATCACAGAACAACTTGCAAGGAAATAGTTCTTTCCTTCTGCCACGTGGTGAGGACTGGGCTCAGGTCGCCGGACTGGGTAGCACGCTCTTATCCACTAAGTCATCTCTCTTGCCCCAGGAGAGATTGTTTAATGGAAATCTTAAGACTTTGTAAACATCAAAACCCACCAGAGAACTTTCATTCACTCACCAGTTGTTCTAGTGTGCCTTCTGTTGTGAGAAACACCATGGCCAAAAACAGGTTGGGGAGGAAAGGGTTTATTTTACCTTACACTTCCAGGACACATTCAATCACCAGGAAAAGTCAGGGCAGGAGTTCAAGGCAGGAAGCTGGAGGAAAGCTGTTCCCCCTGGCTTGCTCAGCCAACTCTCTTATATAGCCCAGTCCCACGAGCCTAGGGATGGCACCACCCACAATGGGCTAGGGCTCCCTATCTCAATTAACAGTCAGGAAAATGCCCCTCAGTAATGCCCACAGGCCGATCTGATGGTGACAATTCTTCAGCTGAGGTTCTTTCTTCCTGGGAGACTCTAGATTGCAACAATTCTAATTATTTTATATCTGATGCACAAATATATATAAAGAACACATTGACATACTACTAATCATTTTATGCTGATATATGTGAATATACATTATATAACTATTTCTGAATATATTTATTTTCACATATCCCTTAGCCCCTGTATCTCTGACTGTCAATTGGAAGATAACAAAAATAGTGCTGTCCAGCTACAGTTCATCTTATAACTTTACTGTCTGCCACTAAAAATCATTTCTGGAGTCAACAAGATGGCTAAGTGGGTCAGGAAGCTTGCTGCCAAGTGGACAACTTGAGTTCAGTCTCCAAGACCCACATGATAGAAGGAGAGAACCAACTCCCACAGCTTGTCCTCTGACCTCCATATGCATACCATAGCATGCATACATGAGACCACTTACATATTCACATATTCTCTCTCTCTCTCTCTCTCTCTCTCTCTCTCTCTCTCTCTCTCTCTCTCTCTCTCTCTCTCACACACACACACACACACACACACACACACACACACGCACACACACACAAGAAATATTTTTAAAAATTTTAAAGAATGATTTTATTGGGTTGGGGATGTGGCTCAGTTGGTAGAGGAAGCATGGCTTCGTTTCCAAGTACCACATAAACCCAGAATGATGGAGCACATCTGAAATTCTAGCATTTGGAGGTAGAAGCAGGAATATCTTAAGTTCAAAGTCATCTTTGACAAGCCTGGGATATATGAGTTCCTGTGTCCAAAAAAATTATTTTGCTAAGGGTATAGAGCTCAGTGATAGACAGGGTAAACCACTTGCCTAGTGTGTGTGAGGTCCTAAATACAATCCTCATCACTAAAGGGGAAAAACAAAGAAGAAAGAAAAGTTTAAACATTATTTTATTTCGGGTGCCATTATCATTTCCACCAGAAGCTTTAAAAAGTTATTTTTGTGTCTGTGTATGTGTACAATGTATGACTGTGTTCATGTGTAAGAGTACACATGTACTGTGACATGTGTATAGAATCAGAAGGCAGTCCTGGGTGTTAGTCTGCACCTCCCACCTATTTGAGGGAGGGTCTCTCTTTTTCCACTGTGATTCCTACTTCAGACTAGCCAGCCCAGGAGCTCCCAGGGGAGTCCCTGACTGTACCACACATCTCCCAGTATGCAGTGGTTTGAATGAGAATGGCCCCCATAGGCTCATAGGTTTGAGTACTTGGTTCCCAGTTGGTAGAACTGTTTGGGAAGGATTAGGGGGTGTGGCATTATTGGAAGAGGAGGTGTGTCACTGGGAGTGTGGGCTTTGAGATTTCTAAAGACTCACACTATTCCCAGTGTGTTCTTTGCTTCCCACTTGTGGATCAAGATGTGAGATCTCAGCTGTTCCTGCCTCCATGCCTTAGCTCCGCTATCGTGGACCCTAAGTCTCTGAAGCCATAGGTCCAATTACACACTTTCTTTTTGTAAGTTGCTGGAATGGCAGACATGATCTATAGCATCTGGCTTTTACACAGGTCCTCGGTATCTAAATTTAGGCCATCAGGCTTGTGTGGCAAGCTCCTTTGCTTGCTGAGCCATCCATCTTCCTGGGCTCTCTACCAGATTGTTTTAAATTATCATGTATTAACTGTGCATATTTTTTTTGTTGTTGTTTTTCAAGACAGGGTTTCTCTGTGTAGCTTTGCGCCTTTCCTGGGACTCACTTGGTAGCCCAGGCTGGCCTCGAACTCACAGAGATCCGCCTGCCTCTGCCTCCCGAGTGCTGGGATTAAAGGCGTGCGCCACCACCCGCCCGGCTTAACTGTGCATATTAGTGGGGCTCACTGCACCATGCATGGATCAGTCCAGCCTCCCATGACTGTCCTTCTGCACCAAGCCCTTCCCAAACCTTTGCAACCACTGTTTTATACTCAAGTCACCTGTCATTTTAGCTTCTGCAGATGAGAGGGAACACTCAGTACTTGTTTTCCTATGTCTGGTTTATTCCACTTAGCATAATACCCTTCAGTTCCATCCATCTTGCTGCAAATGACAGGATTTTATTCTTAATGAGGAAAACTTTGTCAGATAATTGACAGTTTTTTTATTGTTTGCCATTATTTCGCTTAAACATTGCTAATGTCATATTTGAAGAATGACTTTGCAAGCTGAACTTTAAAACTTAAAAATGAAGACTTTTAAATTGCTTGCTTGTGTTTTTGTCTTAAGACAGAGTTCCTTGGTATGCGTGGTACCCAGGCTGGTCTTGAACTCACTATGGAGCCCAGACTGGCCTTCACCTCTCCATTCTCCTGTCCCAGTCTCTCAAATGCTGGGGTCATAGGTGTGCACCACTTAAATGTACCAGCTAAATGTTTTTCTAGGCAAAACAACACAGTGACAAAAGTGACCTTCCTCGGGAACATACAGACTCACATCTTCTGCTTCATCACTTTGTCACTGATCTCCCTGGCCTTTAACAGACCTGGGAACCAAACAGAAACACCTAGCTGCTGTGGTGTGTGCATCCCTTCAGGTGCTTGAATTATTTTCCTCCAAGGTTCAAACACATTCAGGAGGCACCTGGCCAATCCAGATTCGTTACCTTGGAAGCTCCATGCTTCTCTTACACAGTGGTTCTCAACATGTGGGTTGCAACCCCTTTAGCAAACAGTAGGGACATTACAGTGATAAAGTAGCAAGGAAAGTAATTTTATGGTTGGGAGTCACCACTACATGAGGAGCTGTATTAAAGGGTCATTGCATCAGGGAAGTTGAGAACCACTGGACTGCAGTCTGAGCATCAGTGACCAAAAATCAATTTGAGATCTGGAGAGGTGTCTCAGGTGGTAGAGTGCTTGCTTAGCGTGCAGAAATCCCTCCAGCCCCACATAAGCCAAGTACGGGGCCACATCAAGTTGTAACCCCAGCACTTGTAGGTGGAGGCAGGAGAACCAAAAATCCAAGGCCATCCTTGGCTACATAGCAGGTTGAGGCTAACCTGGGCTAGCTGAGACTCTGTCTCCAAACAAAACAAAAAGTTTGTTTTTTTTAATTAAAAGATAAAGCAATGAAAATCTAATATTGAAAAAGAATCCGGCTTACCAAATTGCTCCATAGCTTTGAACAAAATAACAAAATTTGAATTTCAAGCTAGCTGGATGCAGGGAAAGCTTATTATCTAATGATAATAATTCTTCTCACCCAGAAACAATGGCATCCAGGGACAGCTAGCAGGGACCGAGTCAGGCTAGAGTATCTCTTTTCTCATCTGGGCCAGGGAAATATAACTTCCAAATTTATAAACACTGTCTTTGACAACTACCTTTAGCTGATGCCAGCTGTTTTAGTTCCCAATAGCTCACTTAACTAAACTAGTTATAAAGTATAGCAAGAGAGAAACAGTATAAAACAAGTTAACGTGTTGGATGCTTAACTATGTCCCAGAGAGTGTTTTTAATCCTTTTAAGCAGATTGAACTCAGTCCATCCTCACCTCTTATGTGGTAGGTGATAATACTGTCCCTCTGTGATTGGTGGGAAAATTGGGGTGCAGACAGGTCACGGAGTATATACCAGCAGAGCTGAGATTAAATCCCTGAAACTGTGCCACAAAATCATCCACTAAAACAGCTTGCCATCTTTGACTGACATCATCAACATGGTCCATGCAGAACCCCCACAGTTTGACAAGAGGATTTCACCCAAGTTGGTCCTATCGGAGCAGAATAGCTATTTCCGGTCTCCGAGTTCAGGTGATCATTTGGTGAAGCATGAGAGCCAGTGCTGACAGACTGTAAATATTGAGAGAGTCGGAGAGAAGCCAAGCCTTCCATCTAGTGGTGTGAGGACGACTTGTGGTGACTGAGTGTGCAGTTCCAGGAAAGAACAAACAGATACTTCCATGTGCTTTCTGAGTCACTCCCTATTTGCCAGTTTTTTCTTTGTTTGATACAGTGTGTAATTTGCTTCAGAACAATTGGACTAGGCGAAGATGATAAAAATGAACAGAGACTCCAATAAGTCATCGTTTGTTTTTCCATGGTATTTTAAACCTTTCTCAAAATTAAGAATCATTAGGGAAGAAGAATGTAATTTCTTGGGTTCAGGTGTGGCTTAGTGGTTGAACACTGGCCTGGTATCAGTGAGGATGTGGATTTCATCCTCAGCACCAGGAAGAGGATAGAAGAAGA